AAATTTTACTTTGAACCTGCAGACAGACACTTAGAGAAAAGAAATAGAAGTTTCAGTTGGCAATCACTTTCTATTAAATTCTGTGTTGAACTAGAAAAAATTAAAAACTAAACACACAATTATTTGTCCTGGGCTCCATTTTAATGTTGTGTAGCAGAGGAAGACAGAATTATAGCAGAGCAATATAATGCGTTAGGAAATGGGGAAGTGGACTGGATTAAAAATGCAGCCAAACGTGTGCAAAAATAAGTTCTATTCGAATGCTGGAGCTGACTCATCCCTTCAGCAGGTGATAGTGCCTGTGGCACTGTTAGGATCACTCCTGGCACTTGAAGGATCATTGTGGAGGGGAACGCAATAGTAAAAATGCGATAGTGGCAAAGATGAAAAGTGCACGTCACAGTAGTTTCTCATGTTTCCTGACATATCCACAAATTTCTAGTCATAGCGGGCCTGAGCAAGAAAAACTGTTGTCACAATCCTGAAGGGGTAAATAGGGGAGTTCTGGCCCACAGTAAACTATGCCAGACACAGGAAAAACTGCAAGAGAAAGATAAGAGGAGAGCAGATGTTTGACACTCTGTACCAGAGAGGAAGCCTATACTGTGGCTGTTGAAATGGAGAGATCCCCTGTGAGAACTATGTCTTAGAAAGCAGCTGCCAAGTCAAATAGCCATTAAATCTCAGCAGCAACAAACATCATCACACTACGCTGTCTCTCTTTAGTAGACCCAACAGTAGTTCACACTGGGCTGGTATCAATTGTACCATACAAAGCCTGGATGAAAACACAGGTCAGAGTGACAAAAGCGTGAACTTTTAATTAAACGGTTTGAAATTAAATTAAAAATGTACTGGGAAAAAATGAATGAAAAGCTGGAAAGCTAGCTTGTGAATTGAAACTGTGTTCTTTATTATGGACAACATCTTATTACTCTGACTTGTTTCCACATTTTTCTGAAGAGAATTTAAATTACATTGTATCTTTACTAGTTCAAAGTATGTCTTCCAGTTAGGGATAGTGGGGATTCTTGCCATCTCTGACCCTTTCTCAGTTGCTCCTGAATACCTAGGCAAGAGGGTATGACATTACTTCATGGATCTGGTCACTTTTTGTGTCAGAGAAACCATGTCAGAAGCTTAGAGAAATGAGAAGAGCACAATGCTTCACTCCACAGAAGGTAACTGTTACATATTTTGTTTGGAGAGAGAAAAAGGTTAGCTATCCTAAGGCACACCCGTCTAATTTTAGTCTGGTAACCAGCAACCAGTAGAGAATAGCAGGTGCTACATCAATTCAGCTGATACCTAAAATCACGCGGGCAATTTCTTGTTCTATGTCAGAACAGAGAAGGTGCAACCAAGTAAAAACTGAAAGAGAACATTTGGATTTTAGACTGTGCAAGCATGCAGGGAAAATTGGAAGACAGCTTTAATATCAAAAAGGGAGGATGTGCTGCTGATAGTATAATGTGTTTTCACGTTCAGACATGCAACGAAATTATCCAATTACAAAAACCTCCATGCTTAAAACAAACAAACAAACAAACAAACAAACAAATAAAGCCACAATCTCCATACACACATCTACCTTCTCTACCTTAATAATCCAGGATTCTTTATACTGTCTGCCTGTATCAATCAGATTTCTGTCCTGCCTCTTCTAACTAGTACCTCCTTCTTTTCATTTGTGGGGAAAGAGAAGGTAGGGTCCTACTGCCAACAATTCCACACTGCTGTTGCAGACAATCCCTTTTTCTTGGCTGACTAATAAGTGGAGGTATTAAGTTCCCTTTCTCCAGCAGAAAACCAGAAAGAGGTAAAGTGTACTTCTTGAAAGGCCCTGATGCCAGACAGCCATAGCAGATGACTTGATGTAGGCCATTTATTCTGGTTGATTTCTGATAAGCTGTCCTAGAGAAAGCTGTAAAAGAAGATCCAGGGTTGAGAAACCAACTAGATCTTGCTGTGACGGCTGGACAGGTAGAAAGTAGAAGGAATAACAACTCTCTGATTGATAGATTTGAGTAAAATAGTCCTAGGGGTAAGAGACAATAGAATTGAAGAATTGTTAATGATAAAAAAAAATACAGAAATTTCCTGAGACAGGAACAGGGAACTGATGAATTGCTGAAGAAGAACAGGAAGAAGTTGACAGACCTTGGAGAGAAAGACAAAATAAGGGATTTACAGATATCCTTTGGGTGCCTATGATGCCAGAGGCAAAATCATCTATTGCTGATTGAGGCTAGACACATTTTAAGGAGCCAATGCATTACTTGGTTTGAATAAAAAAGACATATGGGAAAAAGATTGTATGAATAGGGTATAATGTAAAATTAACTGTAATTGGGGTAGATGAATGACTAAGGGCAAAGTGAGAACAAGGTAGGAAAATGCCATGGCCCAGATCCAACAAAATATTTATGCTTTCAACTTCTAACTGCTAACATTAGATGGTAATAGCTTTCGCAGCAGGTAAGCTCATAAATCATTTGTTGAATCTAAGCCTAAGGCTGTTGCATGTTAATCCAATGATTTAAAAAGTAAGGTTTACAGAACAGATTTACAAATTTTCAAAATTTAGTTAAGAGTATCAAAATTATATAGGCGAGGGAACAATGTTTGTTCCTCCTGGAGAATCAACGGCTTTGGGGACAGCTACAGAAGCCCTCCCTTTCCTATGAGGAAGTTAATGAAGAGGATGGAGCCAGGCTTTTCACAGCTGTGCGAGGGAGGGGGACAAGAGAGAGTTCAGGCTGCATGCTAGGAAAAGCTTTTTCCATGATGGACATAGTCAAGTGGAGAAACAGGTTGTCCAGTGAAGTCATGCATCTGTCCTTGGAGATCTTCAAGGTTCAACTAGGCAAAGTTTTGAGTAACCTGGTCTAATCTTAGAGCTGATTGTGCTTTGAGCAGGAGATTGGAATAAATGGCTTCCTGAGGCTCCTTCCAGATTCAATCATATGATCCTTTGATCCCATGAAAAGATTTTCACCCCTTCAGTGTGCAACTGCTGCCTTCTTTTACCAAGGAAAAATGCTAATACTACCTTTTCTATATCATGAAGGTATGTGGCTATGTGTGTTTGCCCCAACTAAGATACATTTTTTCATGACATATACTATTTAATAATATTTAGGGCATGAATGGATATAACAGAAACAAGAAAGCAAAAAAATATATTTTTTTCAGCGAGCTTGTATGTACTTGCATATAATAACTGTAGAAGTCAGTCAGAACGGATGAAAAATAAAAAGTTATTAGAGTGAAGTTTCCGATTTAAATATGTTCCACATTCATGTGAAGCAACACAAGATTGCAGAAGGAAATTGGCATGTATTGCAGTAGTAGCAATGTTAATGTCTAAGTAATCTCTCACCAAAAATGGAAGCCTCTAAGACACTGAAAAGCAAAGACCCCTAAGGGATCTTAGGTTAGTGAGCAGGAATTTTCTGGACTATTTTCCTACACATGGCTATCTACAATCCACCTAACCTGCACATTAAAAGAGACAATATGATTTCCGCAAGTTGACAACTTGGATTTTATGTGGTATAAATTTCAAAAAAATGTAAGAGTAACATGAAGAGTAAAATGAAAGAGTAACAATTCCCAACAATGATTGTGTCATGTCACCATGAGCAATAGCTGATGCCATGAATAAAATATAGGTATTTCATGACCATAATAACTGAAAAGTGGACATAAATGTTCTGAATCACCTATAGACCTACCAAGATGATTTTCTGAAACTGATATTTTTTTCCTCTGTATTGATGCATTTATAAGCTAAGTCACTCAGTAAGCTCAGAATCTGAACAACTCTTTAGGAGCCATTAAAGCATATTGAACTAATGACCCATGGATAATCAAAGTGTCTCTTTCACTTAATGATGGATCCTTCATTCTAGTTCATTTGAACCTATCCCATTTGCTTTTCTTTTTGTAATAAAAAGTGGACATTAATTATGTCTCAAGTACTATAAAAATCTTATTGAAAACCTTCGTTATAAAAATATTCTTTTTATTTTGTTTTGACTGTTTTAGAAGATTTAGTTAAAACAATAAGCATTATTTTTCCTAATTTTTTTTGAAGAATCTATTTTTTTCCTGAGATACTTCAGTATTAAATACTTTAGTTGCAAATTTTATCATATTTCAGTTCACTGTTGTCATCATTAATGAAATAGCAACCTCATGTCCTGGATTCAAGGTGAAATAGATCCTTGTCAGGGTCAATGTAAGAAAAATAAAAGTGTTGACTTTAAATACTGACTATCAAAAACTTTGTTTACTAGCAAAAATATTTGAGAGTGGTTGCTGAATAGGATATTGAGCAGTAGTGCTGGAACACCTGATGACAGTCAAGCAGATTATTTACTCTTCTTCTGTGCATTTTCCACAGCCAATCAATACCAGATCTTTCTGTTGATCAGTCTCTCTCCCCACCCCCCCCAAAAAAGGTCAAAAAACCACAGAAAACAAAACAAACAGAAAAACCACCATAGCCAACCAAACAAAAAAAACAAACCAACAAAAAACCCAAAACAAAAACCCCCAAACAAACACAACAAACAAACAAAAAACCCCCCACTTCCATAGATATGAAGGAAAAAAAATAACAGGGACAAAGGTGGGATCACAGAATCACAGAATCTGCTGAATTGGAAGGGACTCACAAGGACCATCAAGCCAACCATTAGCCCTGCACAGACCACCCCCAAGAGTCACACCATGTATCTGAGAGTATCATCCAAACACTTCTTGAACTCTGTCAGGTTTGGTACGAAATAAAGTTAACAGATGGACAATGAAATACTTGTGACTATTTCTGGATTACATAGAATATTTGTTGCAAAACGAAGGAATCTGAATTTAAAACCCATTAGGTTGCCCAAGCAACCAGCTCTTTATGGCTAAACAATTGAAATCTATATATCTATGACTCTGTGAAAAATGCTAAGTAATATAATCGCATTTTTTATGTTATGGTGTGGTTTTTTTTCCCATTGCTTTCCAGTACAAGAACGGTAAAAGGAAAGATTAGTACGCAAGTAAAGCATTTTAGAAACATTATTTCTGACTCCCAAAATTTAAGCTGGCTGTCCAAAACAGTAGTAGCACAATGAAGACCATACGGAACAGGTCTGGTTCTGACTTTTCTAAACTGTTGCTTTACCTCCTTCTACTTCACTACAGTCAGTGTCTGTTATATTCAAAATCCTTATGTGTAAAGAGCAGGCAAACCTTACATAAATATAAACCCAAGAACTTAATATAATTGAAATCTTAACAGTCTAGTCATTATTTAATTGAAATAGAAAAAGCCAGAATAACAATGCAATTAAAATTGCTGAACTTGCACTTTGTTTCTATCCCCTTTTCTGGTGTTACGCTCACTCTTTCCCTGCTCCTTGGATCTTAGGATTAGTGCTTAATTTCTTGGAGGATGTGTGGGGGCATTTTTATTGTGATTATCAGCATCTGGAGTCCTTCAGTGGGAAGGACACAAATATATGATGTTTGTGTTGATGGTTTCTTCTTTTTCACTTTATGGTTTACTTAGCGTCACTTTTGTATTTGCTAACTTGCTTTTACAACTCCATGGGTTTTTTGTTGGACTGCATCTCCACCTTACATGTAAATTTACTTATGTGATACTCTTTTCGCATAGCTAGATACTATTTCTTTTTTTTTTTATCCCTAAAACCAGTTCTGCCTAGATCTGCATTTCTGTAACTGACCACAAGTGAGTTTACTACCATGTGGCCTGAAGTGGCATCCTGTGACCCATCCCCTATCACCTCATGCCCATCCCTATGCCAAATGCTGTGCCTCTACTTCTCAAGCCCTCTGCTCTTGTACTAGGCCTCTATTTCTCTACATTATGTCACTACCTTAGTACTACAAATATTTCATTTTGCACAGAACTGCTTATTTTTGCTATCTGTGGAAAACAATGATTTCACTATAAACAGACAACAAAAATAAAACAAATTAGCTGCAGGCACTTAGTTAATTAGAAAAATTGCTATGGCACCTAAACCAAAGTAAATCTTAAGTTAGAGCCTATATTTGCTTATTAAATAACAGCTAATGGTGGTACTGTGCACTGCATATTCAGTCATCTATTCATTTTGCAAAATAAAGCCTCATTCTAGAGTTTTAAGATCTTTTCAATTTTAAGGAATTATCTATACTACTACATTTCATGACTATAATAAACATTTCCTGGTAAATAACTGGGTAATAAATATTCTTTCTCCCACTCCCCCACTAAACACATATGATAAGTTCCTAGATGACACCAAGAAAACTTCTGCTTCCTTGGAATAAGTCCACATTTTAGATAGGTGGTAATTCTATTTTATAATTGGAGATGACTAGTTGTGATGACTCTTTGCAGATTTTTTTCAACAAAGAGTCCTTGATCTTGCTACCTCTACAGTTCAACAGCACTGAATTTGCTAAGTCTTAAAATCATGCCATGAAGCCTACCTGTTTTTCCAGCCTTTCTTAAAGGAGGTTGGTTTAAAAAAAAGCCATAAAAATTTGACTGTGGCAAATGAATCTGCTTTCTTCAATATATGCAGCGTGTCTTACTCTCCTCCCCTCTTCCTAGAGGGACAAATGCAGGAATGCTGTGACATCTGAAGTAGCTTAACACATCTGAATTAGTTTTCTAAAGAAATTGGTGAGATTTTGCAAAATAATCAGTTTAGATTACATACTTGGTTTTGTATTGCATTTCTGCTCAAAATTATCACAATTGCTCACTAAACAACAATCCGTTTTAATGGAAAGATAAAGAGTACTTTTCTTCTTGCAAGGGTTGTTTGTCTTCTTTCAGCATCACTAAATATTCGTTTTACCCAAGAAAGATTCTAAGCATGATTCTCTCGTCTAAGTGTTGAGAAAAAGTAGAAATCTCAACCGCAGTTCCAGTTCAAAAATCATGTGTGTGTGCTATATTAACCAGCTGTTACAGGAGACATATCTTTGTCTCTTAATACAGTTCTGTGAGACAGAACTGTTTCAAAAAGTGGAGACAAAAACATAGCCCCCAAACCTGGCATCTTTTTATCCCGTCTGAATAAAAACACATTCATCAATTTTTACTTCAGTTATTACAGGCTGCTTATTATATTAAACATCAGGACTTATTGCATGGGTCCTGAACTCCTGCACATAGAAGATAAGAAGTCAAACAAGTTCCTGTAGAGATCCACTGGATGCTGCTAAATTATAATTATTTTATTGGGGTACTTAAGTGTTGATTTTTTTAACTTAGACATCAAAAAATTTAAACAGGATTATGCATGAATAATACTGTAGTTAATGGGAATTATGCTGCAAAAATCTGGGTTTTCACTTTCCTTCATGTAGGGAGAATTAGAAGTTCCATAACTCTGTGTTTATGCATCCATGCTTTCTTGAGAATAAGCCTCAAGCCAACTCTAATTTTACACACAAATATTTGTTCTTCCTGAAACTTGAAAAATAATAACAATACTGTTCCCTTACCCATGCTCCCTAAATGGAAATTACTAACTGCTTTGCCTAAAAGAAACACCTAGTAACATATTTATTTCAGCCAAGTTATTTTAGAATTCAGGGTTTCAAAGGAGAAATATCATTTTAACAGAAAAAAAGCCCCCAGACTTCCTGCAAAAAGATTTTTATTTGCCAGCTGTACAGACTATTACAACAAATGTCTAAACTTGAAAAAAATAAAATACTGTACAGCATTTCAGAGCTTTTACACTATGATTGTAAAATATCTGGGAGCTTTGCCAAACTCAGTCAAAAGAAGAACACAGCATTTTCTCATCACTAATAACAATGACCTGAAGTCACGTTGAAGATTGTAAGGTCAATTTCCCTCTTAAATTGAAAAAAAGAAAATAGGAGAACAGATGTGGGTAGTTGCTTCTGTATTTATAAATTGCATGACAGCTGGGTTAGGCTATATCGTCTCCAGTTTCTATGCAGTTGAGGTGTTTTTATTGAATCATTCATGCTAATCAGATAGAAGTGTTAAGGTGCATTTTTAAGGTATTACACAGCATAGAAAAAGCAGCTAACTTCATAGCATACGTTCAAAATTGAACATTTTTCTTCATTAAATATATTCAGATAAGATTACCATGTGGCATACACATTTCAAGGAGGATTTTCTGAGTTTGAATGATCAGTTCTGAATTGACAGCATAAAGGTGTGTGATGATAAAATGAGTACATTTTAAATAAAAGCATAAATACACAAAGTGGTAATTAAAACTACCTACTACCAGATATTTGTGCATTTGGTGGTGGGTTTTTTGTTTGCTTTGTTTTTTTGTAGTTTACAATTGCAGCAATAGTAGCTGTGCAACCAACATCCTAATAACATTTATTCTGTCATTTCGAGAGCATATAATTCTAGAAACAGAAAATTTTATGCACACAGAAATTCTCAATCTACATTATTTCATCTATTAAGCTGACAATTTTATCAGATACATAATTTCTTATTACTGACTCTTTAGGTCTATCTGCTGAATCACAATTTGCACACGCTACACACCAGTATTTTTGACTACTATTTCTTTATATTACATTTACATTAAAATGCCAACCATCTGCTTGTGGATGATAGAATCTGGGAAACTCTTGCCTTTAAATCCCAGAATTTTATTTGTAATCCCTTATTGGGTGAGGCATTTGAATCATATTCCACCTCTTTATACTGTGCAATTCATTTCATCTAACCTACATATTTTAACATTAGACATAGTGGCCTACTGAGCCCAGACCTATGAGAAGAAAAAGGAACCTCATGAGCATAGTTTATCTGAAACATCTTAAATGTCTGGTATGGAATGAGATAAATCTTTGATGATGCTTTCTGTCTCCTTGACATAAGGAGAGGCTATGTGAATAGTTAGACTTAAAAGATTAACTTCTAACAGTTGTATTGGAGTACAAAGCAAAAGCTTAGATGTGAAGTCTCAACTAAGATTGAGAGATAAACAGTTTTCTAATCTTCAGCCAGGCATTTGATTGATAGTTTCTCTGACTTATGTGATGTATACATCAATTATTTCAGAATAATATTTTGGTGAATACTTCTAACAGTTACCAAACAACAGTGGACAGAGAATCTGGGGACTGTTCAGAAGATATAAAGAGAAAAATAAGGTAAGTAGAATGAATCAGTTTTAGTATACAGTCTTCTCTTCCCCTAAGTTTTAGAAAAATTGGTAAGTAACAGCCCTCAGGCAGCCTAAACTTGTGCAATCAACCTCTTCAACACAGATTGTCCTAAGTCTCTCTGTTCTTGGCAGTATAATAAGGGTCACATTTACATATAGGTGACCTGCTTCTGAATGACAATTGAAACATTTAGAATTAGACGAGGAAAGAAAAAGTGGTTTTGACAGTACTCCAGTTCTGTGAAACAATATAGTATCATCCTTTATGAGGTTCATTTCAAGAATGAGTGCTTATTTATTATGGACAGTGCAAGGAAAGGACTCACATGCCACAGACAGTTCAAAGTTCCCAAGTGCAGCACCATACGCACACAGCCGTTGAGTCCAGCAAGGGTGATAGCTTTGCTCCATCTCAGTAGTTGCAGCGCCTATGGGAGACAGAGAGGAGCAAGAAATCCTTGAGTCCCTTTATAAGATCAGCAGTGACATTTCCTCCTACTGCCCTGTCAGCCTCCAATCTGTGCTGCATTGGCTCAGTGTTCCTATTAGGGCCTCTGGGTACTACAGTAAATAGTGAGCATTGAGGGATATAACATGCAGCAAAGTCTAACAGTGTTCATGCGTTACTAATTACCATAATGAGAAACTTGCGGCACATCAGCCAAGGAGAATTTGCACTGATTGTTTTTATCCCATTCTTCACCTAGAATAGGAAGAATTCCCATGGATCCCCACTTTACCTTGAGTGCTTCTTCTCCTCTTTCTGTGTGTAGATATTCCTTAGAGGTGCACGCAAGGCAGATGAATAAACAGGGATTTAAATCCAAAAATTATTAATTTTCTAATAGGCCTTTCTACTGCATGTATATATAAATTCTAGTGACCAAAGGAAAAAAAATGTTCAAATTTCATCTGATCTCAGTTGGCACAGGCATATTGAAGAGCAACTGCTGTTTTCACACTGTTCCTAATTCCATGTAAGGCCCTGGTGCATGTTAGTTATTGATTTTAGACACTTCTGCTGCTGACTACAAATACTGACTCATGAAGCATGGATTCCTACTCCACTAATACAGGGTTAATATTAGAATTACTTGAAGGTTAAATGTTCATCAAACAACACTATTAGCTAGAACAACTTCTTAATAATATGATGTTTTGTTGAAACCTGTCTTCTGTGATGAATCTGTGCTTACAGGAGACAAGAAAACAAAGTTAGTTTTTGGAACACAAGATGTGATACTGAAAGGCCTCCCAAGCCATTGATTCATATCCCCTGCTCTAACAGGCATTTCCTGCATCCTATAATCCCATTCAAAAATGTATTAAGCTCCCCTTCAAAGCTACTTAAATTGTTTTCCTCTGTTACTCTTATTGGAAGGCAGTTCCAGACAGGTGGAAGGTGGCTAGACAGTTGTATTGATCTCTAAATTCCCTGGAAATTCTATTTATAAAATGTTAGGCATTTTGTTAAGGATTTCCAAGTGGGTGTTTCTGATTGCTGAATACATAACAATTGTTCTGCTGATAACAAGCCTCTGCATGTTTCATTTATAATGATCCATTTTATTTTCCTTGTAATAATAGCATATTGCCATTTCATGCAGCTGTTACATGCACTTTATGAGTGTTTCACTGCCTTTTTTTTTAACATAATTGACTCAGTCTTTTGAGTTGCCAAGCACCTTATCCCTGATTTCAGAGAACCTTAAGCAATACCCTATGGTAAGGTAAGCACTGTATCCAAGGACCTTGTTTCAGGTATACACGCTTCTTTTCGCAGTCATGTATTTCACACAGATTCACGCAGAATGGCTGGGATTGGAAAGGGCCTCTGGAGATCATCTAGTCCACCTTCCCTGATAAAGCAGGGTTGTCCTACAGCAGGTTGCACAGGACCATGTCCACACCGGTTTTGAATATCTTCAGAGAAGAAGAATCCACAACCACTCTGAGCAGCCTGTTCCAGTGTTCTGCCACCCTCATGGTAAAGAATTTTTTCCTTATATTCAGATGGCACTTCCTTTGTTTAAGATTCTGCCTGTTTCCCCTTCTCCTACCCCTGGGCATCATTGAAGAGAGTTTAGTCCCATCCTTTTGACATCCACCCTTAGGATATTTATATGCATTGATAGGATTCCCTCTCAGTTGTCTCTTCTCCAGGCTAAACACGCCCAGCTCCTTCAGCCTGAGGGAGAAGCTCCAGTCCCCTAATCATCTTCAGAGCCCTCTGGTGGACTCTCCTCAGTAACTCCTTGTCCTTGAACTGGGGAGCCCAGAACTGGTTATAGTACTCCAGATGTGGCCTCACCATGGATGACTAGAGGGGTAGGATCACCTCCCACAACCTGCTGGAAATGCTCTTCCTAAGGCACCCTAGACAGCATTGGCCTTCTTGGTCATAAGGGCACACTGCGGGCTCATGGACAGCTTTTTGTCCACCAGGATGCCCAGATCCTTCTCCCCAAAACTGCTTTCCAGCAGGTCAGCCCCCAGACTATATTCGTGCATGGGGTTATTCCTCACCAGATACAGGACCCTGCTTTTGCCTTTGTTGAGCTTCATTAGGTTCCTCTCTGCCCAACTCTCCAGCCTGTCCAAGTCTCACTGAATGGCCAGCACAACCTTCTGGTGTGTCAGCCACTCCTCCCAGTTCTGTATCATCTGCAAACTTGCTGAGGGTGCACTCTGTCCCTTCATCCAGGTCTTTAATGAATAAGTTGAACTATACTGGATGCAGTACTGAACCCTGGGGAACACCACTACTTACAGGCCTCCAACTAGACTCTGTGTCACTGATCACAACCCTCTGATCTCTGCCATTCAGCCAGTTCTCAGTCCACCTCATTGTCTACTCATCTAACCTTCTTTTCCTCCACATGCTTAGAGATGACATCCAGGATGAGTTATTCCATCACCTTACCAGGGATGGAGGTGAGGCTGACAGGCACATCCTCCTCACTGCTGTAAGGATCTTGAACTCCACCATTTTATGGTCACTCCAGCCAAGGCTTCCCTTGAGCTTTACATTCCCCACCAGCCCCTCCTTGATGGTGAGAATAAGGTCCTGTATAGCACCTTTCCTCAGTGGCTCCTCTATTACTTGGAGAAGGAAGGTATCAAGGCATTTTAAGAACCTCCTGGATTGCTTACGCCCTGCTGTGTTGCCCTTTCAGCAGACATTGAGGTGGTAGAAGTTCCCCACGTGGACTAGGAATTGTCAACGTGAGGCTGCTCCTATCTATGTACAGAGGGGCACATCTGCTCAGTCTTCCTGGTCAGATGGCTTGTAGCAGACTCCCTTCTCTCCCTTTAATCCTGACCCATAAGCTCTTAGCTTCTCATCCACTCCCAGAAAGAACTCTATGCACTCCGGCTGGTCATTGACGTAGACAGCAAGACCCCCTCTTCATCTCACCTGCCTATCCTTCCTAAAAAGCCTGTATCCTTCCATTCCAACACTCCAGTCATAGAAGCCATCCCACCATGTCTCCATGATGCCAATAAGACCATAGCCCTGCAGGCGTGCTCTGTCTCTGTACATAGATCTGATTAATACAAAGTCCAAGTACAGATCATCGTGTTTGGTTTTACTGTATCCTTAACAATTATAGCACATTTTTAAATAGTTTTACCCATAACTACAAAGTCCACATTCTGGTTTCAGTTATCTGAGCTTAAATCTGAATTAAAAAGTGAAAAATAAATTACTCTGGAATTCATCTTTGTTTAAAGAAAAGTAAAATTTAGCCCTGTCTTTTTTTAAAGAGCCTGGACATAATAAGGCAATTGCCATGTATGGGAGCAGTATATTTACCTCCTGTAGTCACACTTGCTATCATGACTCATTTGACTGCACATCAATTCTGAAGTGTGGTTAAAATGACATGTAATAAACAGAAATCTCCACTGCATCATCCCAGTGAAAGTAGTTCTTACCGCTGTGTTGCATCTTAGCTTCAAGGAACAAAACTGATCCAGCATTTGGTCTGGCCTCACATTTGAAGGAAGCAATGCTCTTACACACATAATTTTTAACAGAAAACAAAAGTTAAGAACTAAACATACATATCAAACTTCCGTGCGAGTACGTTCTGCATCTCACTGGTGTAGAGAATACCTGATGATTTTTGACTGTTCCCTTTTTACATCTGCCTCTGACGCTTCTACCATTATGCACTGTTAGGTGAAAACCTGACCCCTTTGAAGTTAATGGAAAAAAGCTTTCCTACTTTTAATGTGAGTTATTATCTTTCAATAAGGTCACTTCATGGATCTAATCTTTGTGCTACCAGCAAGTGCTGTCCCTTGACTTGAAAATGACTCTGCAAACATGTAGATGTTCATGTTATTATATCCTGCTGAAGGATGTGAACATTTTACTTTAAAAAAAAGAGCATTAAAAAATAACAGCTAGTAATACAGCTCATTGGACTGCTGTGAGATCATTCATAGAGTACAAACTAATATTTGTATGGTGAAGCACCTTTGGATCTTTGGATGAAAGATGATGTGTTTAAATACAAAGTATTAAAATTAATCTCTGCATGGAATTTTTTAAGAAAAAAAGCTAAGCAATTCAGTTTAATTAGTCAACTAATAGAAAAAATTAAAAATGCCTAATAATGTACAATTTATATTTCCCAATGGAAACCAATATTATGCTTAGATTATAGTCAGAATAATATTATTAATAGAATGACTGAGTCAAATTAATCATGACTGAAAATCTGATTATCACAAGGGATCATGCTGCTATCATAGACTTCTCATACATTTCCTTTTATCTTCTTATTACAGTACCGTATTTCTCCCTCTGTGCAGAGGGTGTAGCGGATTTTCAGTTTTCAGTATCTTCAAACTGCTGCTTTGATATTCTAAGACACATCTTTTGAATGACAGGCCTCAAATTAATTTTGTTCTTACAAAGAAGAAACTACAGACAAGGACAACTGTTTTTAATAATATTATTTACAAGGTGATAATATGCAATTTGTTACTTGTCAAAACAGTGGGAATTATGTTCTCATTTTGCGTTAAACATAATTAGCTAATATTTTCCAAAGGATATGCAGAGAGAAGAGGTATCTCATGTTTTTAACTGTATTGCAAATTTAATTGTTTGCCTTCATTTGTTCTTGCTCTTGTTCTTGCTCAGAATGCAAAATTTTAAGTTATGGCTCCAGTATGCTCAAAAGAAATCCATTAAAAAGTTGGATTTCCTCAGCCCTAAGGGGATTAAAGTCCAATGTATGTATATATCCATAAAGATCTTTTAAAAGAAATAATTGTGAATTAGATTGTGTACAATGAATTATTACATACATTTTCTCCTGGGATTATATAAAAAAAAAAGGTACTTTCTAGCCTTTGAATCTTTTAAAAAACTTTTCCCCTCAAATACATTATGCATAACACAGTACACATA